CCCCGGCCCTGCCTGTGGGGTGGGATCATCCCACAGAGCTCATCTCGCTGCTGCCTGCTGAATCCACTTCCCGGGGGACTCACCCACGCAGCCTGGCCGGCCGGGCTCTGGAGGTGGCTGGGCAGCTTCCCAAAGCAAACCTGACCCGGGCAGGGCCCCACGTGGGTGCATCCACCCCGAGGTGTGCACCTGCCAGACAGCAGGACTCCAGGGCCTGGCATTCGGGTGCTGCTCTGCCCCCGTAGCTCCCTGCATTCTCTCTGTGGTGGAGGTGGGTCAGGCTCAGCTGTACTGGCAATCAGTGTGCAGGTGCAAATCCTCCAGTGTCCCAGCATTCCCCTGGGGGAGCGAGGCAAAGGGGTGTGGTCTGTAGGCCACACCCTCCTAAGTAACCTATATAAGAAAGGCTGCTCCTCCACTGGCTGTTCTGGGTGGGGGCTTCTATGTGAGATGGGTGAGCGTCAGTGGGCGCCTGCTGCCTCGGGAGGCTGTCCTGGGAGCAGCGCTGAGCCTGGTGCCTTCCCTTGAATGGGGCCTTCTGTGGCTAGTGTTACACCTGGCCAGAAGAGAGGGCTGACATGGGCATTGGGGGCAGGGCTTTGCCTCCCCTGCAGCAGCTGGTTTCTGCAGATGCTGGCGAGTTTGTGTCTAAGGATCCTCAGGGATGGGGATCCTGGTGGCTTTTGCCTCCCTTCCCTGACTCTGGTGCAGGGCTGGGAGTCGGGACACTTGGGTTCTATTCCTGCTCTGCCCAGGCTGCTGAGGGAGCTCAGACCCGGTGCCCCCACCATGCCGAGCTGTCCAGTGGGCTCTGTGCCCTGGGTTGGGGCCGTTTGTCCTTCTGGGGCAGGCCTGAGAGACTAAGAAGGAGGGGCTAACCCCAAACAGGACCATGGTTGTCTTCTAAGTTTTGGGGGCTTCTTTTAGTTCCAGACTAACACGGCTACCTCTCTGGGAGAGAGGGGTTAACCCTGAGGAGCGTCCTCTCTCTGCACAGATCCTAGCCAGTAGGGGGCAGGACAACCCCACCCAAGTGCCCCCCATGCCTCTCCAGGGTGCCCCAACCAAGCCCTCAGACCCGGTGCTACCCTCCCTCCAGCTGGGCCTGGTGCCACATGAACCCTGAGCGTCCCCCAGCACCTGGGAGCAGGTCTCCAAGGTCGCTGCGTCCCCGGGGCCTGGGAGTTTCACTTCCGAGGGGCTGGGGTGTGACGAGCTGTTTCACATCCCTCGGCGCCTTCCCCTGCCTGTCTGTCTGCCCAGGAAATCCCAGCATCGCTCATGGCGGACGGAGACCGGAGGTGCCCCCGCTCGACCCGCTTTGGTGAGTGGCTGGCGCAGGGCGTGCCACAGAACCAGGCCAGGGGTGCTGGTGCTGGGGCGGGAGGGGATAGAGCACGAATTCCCGGCTCCCCTGTGCTGCTGGGCGGG